GTGGCAATTCTTGCCCAAGCGGCTCTCACCAAGACTCAGAGGGAGGGAGGGGATGGGGCATGGAGACGGTCCGGGTTCTCTGCCACGGGACTCTCCTGCGTCTGTCACTCAGCACTGATTGAAGCTGCTTTGCACTTGATTAACCCCTTGTCTGGACTTGAACTTGGGTAGGAGCTGGACCTGGAAGTCTACTGGTTAATTACAAGAGCTCTATCCGTCGCCGACCTGGGGACACCTCACCCGACGACTTTTTTGCATGTATTATTATTTTTGAATTGAAAGAAAAAGACGTTTTCACTTCTAACTAGGTTTTCTTTTTTAAAAGAAACCACTAGGGGGAAAAAAGGAACCTAAGAAGGAATTTGCTCATCTTTTACCCAGAGATCCGGAGGAAGCAGTGGATATTACAAGTGGATTATCTCCGGGACAAGGTTAATGTGTTTAGCAAAGCTACCGAGTGAATATAACAATAGAATGATTCCTCCAATAATGATATGTTTCTTTTTTAAGCCAAGCAGGATAATCTTTATAAAAGAAAAAACCTTTGAAGTGACTTTTAAATGTTATAATTTTATAGTTGACCCAAGAACTATCAAGTAGGATTAAAATTAAATCTTCCCAATCTTAAATATTTGATGAGAAATAAAGTGCTTGACTTTTCCAAGCAAACGCTCCCAGAAATACCAGAAGGGTTATTTCCTATAATTAACTTCAACTTACTGTACCAATGTAAGCCCATGTTCTCAAGTTCTATTTTCTGGAGAGACGAAAGAGTCTCAGGTCAGTCACTTTACATAATGGAGTTCATTCGTTTTTCTTTTTCCTTCAGCAAACCCATCGTGTGCCAGGCACTGTGCCATAAGCAAAGAGAACAGGATGAAACACTCACTATCATGGCTAACATTTATAGGTGACAGCAAACACCAGACGAAGCACTGTGCATTCTGCAGTACGATGTTTACTGTTAGCCTAGAGGTACATAATTTGATAATATAGTCACGGAGAATAAGTGTTATCTCTTCTAGACTGAATAACATTTTGACTGCTGCCTCCAAGATCTTATTTCTTCAAGTTTTTTAGTTTATTCTTTTAACTGACAACTAATAATTGTATATATCAGTAGGACACAATGCGATATTTTGATGTGTAGATACATATAAATTGTAGAAAGATTAAAGTGAGATTAACATATCTGTGACTTCACCAACTTATCATTTGGTGTGTGTGGCAAAAATGTAAAAAATGTGTTCTAGCAATTTTGAAATATACAATACATGATTATAAATTGCAGTCACCAAGCAGTGAAATCAATCATGAAAACATATTCCTCTGCTCTTACTTTGTACCCTTTGTTCCATGGTGCCCTTTCCCTGCCCCTCCTGCTCCCCAGCCTCTGATAACCCCTTTCTACTTCTTGTTTGTATGAGACTGGAGTTTTAGATTCCACCTGTGACTGAGATTGTGCGGTGTTTGCCTTTCTGTGTCAGACTCATTCCACTCAGCATCAGGGGCCAGGTGCTTGTCTCTGCTTCCTCAACGTTCCTCTTAATGTCTACAAGGCCAAATAAAATATGCCATATTCAGCAAATTCCACATTGCCAGCAGAAGCTTTATTTGGGAAGTGTGTACGGGTGCTGTTGGGGAGAGGGACCAACATGAGTGAGCTCACACATTTGTGTGGATACTCTCTGTTCAACCTGTCTCCAAAATGTGTCTTTATCAGCCACTTTATTTAATGACAAGGGCCATTTATACCCCATTTAAGGAGTAGCCAAAACTTGCTGGATAAAGAGCAGCCATGCACACTCCAGTTTCTGGCACATGTGTAAGAAGCTTGGAAGTTGTCACTCCATTCTAAAACAATGAACAAAAGCTGCAGCAAACTGAAAATCAACAACTTCCTGGAGCCAGAGAGAACTGAAGTCACAGTGCAAATCTCCGTTCCCCAAATTGGAGAGACAGGTGGATACAGAGACTCACAAATTGCCAGAGCAGAAATTCACTTATGAGTAGAAACTTCCACAAGAGGCAGTATCTCGGTACATCGTGTCCTGCTTTCAACACAAAACTACAAGATGTACTAACAGACAAAACACGCAGGTGAGCATCAGAACCAGAGTCACTCATGGCAGAGGGGTTGAAGTTCTCAGACTAGAGAGTTGAAAAGAACCCTGGCTAATATGCTAAGGGCTAGAATGGAAAAGGTGGGTGCTGTGCAAGAAGATCAGGTAAGAAAGACAGAACCAATAAGAAAGAGTGAAAAGGAGATATTAGGAACCAAAACCTTTTAACCAAAATGCACGTTTTTGCTGGGATCATCTGTAACTGCTCACAGCTTAGAAGAGGACGGGCTGCACTGAAAACCCACAGGCACCCCTTCCCTGAGGCTGCTCAGTGGTCCTGGGATTTCCCAACAACCTTCCCTCTGGCCTCAGCTACGTGTACTGAAGGCAGAGTGGCTCATGAACACGCTGAAGACTAGGACATCCTGTTAAGTGGGAAGTCCTGGGAATTGGACCATTTACAAGCCCTTAATAATTTTTGAAGATCCAAAAGTATCCTGCAGCCAGGCGAGGTGGCTCACACCTGTAATGCCAGGACTTTAGGAGACTGCCAAGGCAGGAGAATCACTGGAGCCCAGGAGTTTGAGACCAGCCTGGGAAAGAAAGCAAGAACCCATCTCTACAAGAAAAATGGAAAGAAATTAGCTGGACCTGGTGGCACATGCTTGTAGTCCCAGCTACTCAGGAGACCAGATGGTAGGATCATTTGCACCCAGGAGTTGGAGGCTGCAGTGAGCTAGGATCATGCCTCTGCACTCACGTCTGGGCGACAGAACTAGACCATTTCAAACAACGGACCCAAAGAAGGAGTACTTTGCTATTGTTTATTTCTTTCTAAGGATCTTGTCGCTCAATTCAATGAACATAACAGTATTGGAGCAAAGCAATTGGTCTAGTAAAGTAAAAAAAATTTTTTTAATCTTACTCAATTATAAGCAATCTAACTAAACACTTTTCTAAGTAGCAAGGATGAATCAATTAAGAGCTAAGCACCTTCCCCTATACAAATGTTCATGGTTTGTCTAATAAAAGAAAATGATTAATTTATTGGGGGTATGGCTTTGCAGAATTTGGATACTAATTTGTACAGAATGTACCCACAGAGATTCCATTTGTTTTTGGATTACCGATATGAACTATTAACTGTCATCTCAAAAGCTTCACATCCACTGTAATGGGAGTCCCTAGTCGCGTGAAGCATTCTTAGCTTTTGCTCATGGGTTCTCAAATACTGGGGAATCGCCATCTATCATAAAATATGTTCTTGGTAGCTGAGCCTCTAGGCTCCTCATCCCATGCAAACTCAGAGTTTATCAAAAAGCAAACGCAGACACCTAAGTAGCAAACTTTCAAATCGTGTTCACAGACTTCGCTTAGCCTTGTCTTGGTTTTCCTGCAGCCTCTGAGTGCACGTGCTTAGCTGCACAGCTGGGAATAAGACAGGCCAGAGAACACACCAACCCTTGGTCTGACCATAATCATTGATTATGATTAATTCATATGATTGCTTTATATGATTAATATGATTGATTTATATGACTGACTTAAGGGATTAATTTATGTGGTCAATTATATAATTAATTAATATATTACATAACCATATTAATTATATTATTAACTATATTGTATTATAATATAATGTACAATACACAATTAATATAATACATAACATTATTATATATTATACAATATTAATTTATATAATTAATATATTAATATATATTATGTAGTATAATGTATACTTTATATAACATGTGAACTTTTAAATATGTAAATATTTTCAAATTAATAAAATGAAGAGGAATTTCTGTAATCAGTGTTTATTTGAAAATTGAGATCTAAGACTAAATTTAAAAGGCATCAGATCTGCTTTTTCATCTTTGTTGTTTGCTCTCTCTATATATATATGTTTTAATCATTTGCTCTATATCTAATATTATTTTATATTAGTAATATATAATACATTAATTTAATATATATTATGATAGATAATATATTTAGTCTAATAAGCTATATATTAATATATATCTTATGTATATTTGTATGTGTATATCTAAATTAAATTAATATGTAGATAAAATATGTATGATGGAATATATATTACATTATGTTACACAACTAAAGATACTCAAAACCAAGACCCAAAAGCAGATCTGATGCCTTTTAAATATACAGTGTTAGATCTTAACTTCTAAATACACACCAACTACAGAAATGTCTCTTGGTTTTATTTTTAATTTGAAAATGTACACATATGTATTGATAGAGTAAACCTAACATGGAGTTTACTTTAAATAAAATGTTGTCATTCATCTGCACATAATTTCCTCTTTTTCCTCCTGTTTTATAGGCAGCCTTTCATTGTTCAGAGCCAGGTGAGCAGGGGCCAGTCAGCTGCAGGTTCTCTTCTGGTCTGTGGCCAGGTTCTGTTCATTTCACTTCTCATTAGCACTGTCCCCAGGGGAGAGCCAGGGGAGAGAGAGAGAGAGAGAGAGAGAGAGAGAGAGAGAGAGAGAGAGAGAGAGAGAGAGAGAGAGGGAGGGAGGGAGGGAGGGAGGGAGGGAGGGAGGGAGGGAGGGAGGGAGAGAGAGAGAGAGAGAGAGAGAGAGAGAAGGAGGTACAGCTCAAATCAACTAATTTACTCCTCATTAGCAGCTCTGATGAATGATCTGATGGAGTGGGAAGCTGTAACTATTAATTTAGGTGAGATCTGAATGGTGTCTGTTGATTTTATTTCTCTGCGCTTTGCCTATGCCCTCTTAACAGAGCAAGAAGTGGCTTTAGGAAATCTCGTGTAATTTGTACCTTACTATCCTGGGATCTGTGATAAGGCAACAGTGCCCAATTGAAACTTACTTTCTCATGACTTAGAAAACAAAAAAAGGTTTGTCAAACCAAATAAGAATATAAGCAATTGTAAGAATATGTTCTCCATAATTAAAAACTTTAAGAAACAAAACCTTTATTCATAGATATACTGTCAACATGCTAAGCAAATTCATCACATTATTTTGTTAAGTAGAGACTGTGAAGGTCTTCCACCAGCTATCACGGCCCCTATGTACAATTACAAACTTTAGAAAGTTTGAAACCAATTTCTTTTTCTTAATTCATTTGGCATCTTGTTTAACCTTAAATTAATTACAGTCCTGTGCTGTGTAACATTTCTGTCCACTATGGACTACATAAATGACAGTGTCCCTTCAGATTATAGTGACATGGTTTTACTTTCCTATGTTTAAGTATATTTAGATACACAAATACCACTGCGTTACCACTGGCTACAGTGTTCGGTCCAGTGCATCCCATATAGGCTGATAGCCTGGGAGTAATAGGCCATACCCTGTAGCCTAGGTTGATGGTGGACTGCACCATCAAGATTGGTTAAATTCACTCTGTGATGCTCACATAATAATGAAACTGCCTGGCGATGCATTTCTCAGTGTGTATCCTTCTTGTCAATCGACTCGTTACTATAACGGCAAAACCTGACCTAAACCAAGATAAAGCTATTTAAAGACATTATCTCTCCTATCACGTGAATATTCATATTTTTCTCAGAGCAGATCTCCATATACAGCTAATTCTGTTTATTCTTGGTAATTCTGTTCAATAAAGTCTCTGTGAATACTGAATTGGTGAACAGTGAACTTTCGCTCCTAGGGGAAATACAAGGTTAGGTTCCTGAAAACCTCGGGTCTCAACATTTTCATCAAGAAATCAATGCATAGCCCCATTTTATGTGTGTTTCTGTTTGAAGACACCTCATTTAGTTCATGAACATTGAACTCACTGCCAGCAGTACTGGAATATGAGCCAGAGTGAAGCTTCTGTAACTCATGTATTTCTCCATAAGGCACATCATGGCCTCTGTGGTCAGAGACGCAGACAGGAGACAGCACATCTTCACTATCTCTGGGCCATCCTAAACAGGATCAGCATCAACAAAGCACAGAAATGCAGAATTTTAAAAATATGGCTCTTGCGGTTGGGTGTGGTGGCTCACACCTGTAATCCCAGCACTTTGGAAGGCCGAGGCGGGTGGATCATTTGAGGTCAGTAGTTTGAGACCAGCCTGACCAATATGGTGAAACCCCATCTCTACTAAAAACATAAAAATTAGCCAGGCGTGGTGGCAGGCACCTGTAATCCCAGCTACGTGGGAGGCTGATGCAGGAGAAACCCTTAAACCTGGAGGAGGAGGTTGCAGTGAGCTGAAATCTATTGTACTCCAGCCTGGGTGATAGAGCAAGGCTCCGTCTCAAAAAGTATATAAAATAATAATAATAAAAACCAAATAAATAAAAATCTAAAAAGTGCTCTTAATAGGTATTATAAAGGAAACCTGTTCACAGCACGAGATGAAACAAGAAGGCATAGGTCGCCTGGCTTAGCCTTGGCTGGGAATGCGAGCACAGCAGGTGGTGCACAATGTATTTTAGTTTTCTGATGCTCTGCGTATGTCTGTGAACAACTGTGAACATAATGTGAGTGTTAATTTTGTGGTTACAAATACATTTTATCAGGTAGGAAATTTAGAAATATCAAATCTGCAAATAATGAGGACCAACTGTATTTCATTCCTGAGCACTGCCCAGACACTTTCTATACAACTTGTTATAAAACACAGGCTCAGCGCTGCCTTTGTGAAGCCTGAAAGTTTAGAATTCTAAAACGTCCTTTGCTCCAAGGAATTCAGGTATGGGATTCAGCACTCTTCATGTCTTCAGAAATACAATAAAGGCTTCAAAACTGAGTTTCTGTGAGTCAGTATTAATCAACGTACTTATTCTACAGCTGTTATTTTGTATTCCAGATAAGCCTGTGGGAGAAATATCATTAATGGGTAATTTATTTTCAAATTATGTCATTTTTTCCCCATCAATTTGCTTGACAGCTGTATTCTGCTATTGTCAATAAGGTACCCCCATGAGATACAAATACACAACATCCCTCAGGTAAGAGGATATAGGGTGCCCACTAATTGTAAAGTGACCCCATGTCCCAGTGACATGAATATCCATATTCTGCTGTGACCCTGTAGCTGTGAAGGAGAACTCTGTGATGCTCATACTGATGAGGCTGCAGTGTCTGTGTGCATTACCTAGAACTCTAAACACGAAGCTCAGTTTCTCTAACTTACTCCTTAGCGTGCGCACCTGACTTTGTCGTGGAACGGGTAGCAGTTCAGGAGGAACTAAATGACTATGGGCATCGAGACTGTAGGGAGTTTTGGGAAGACTTAGCATGGCACATAAGGGCAGGCACGGGAACACTCCGCAGATGTGAGAGAAAGCAGGTGCATTGTCTTGGAAGATTTTGAAACCAATAACAAAATCGAAAAAAAGTTGGTCTGTTCTGTATTATCGCCATGTCATGCTGTCACTGCTAGAAATGAGTTATTTCTCCGTGGGGGGGAGAGCAGATCTTTCCTTGGTTTATGTTTGAAATGGCTACTACATAAAGCTTCCGACTGGGACATTTCCACTCCTTACCCTCTGCTTACCCACTGCAGACGCCAGAACCGTGGGTCCAGCCCCGATGTGTTGACCAGCTACAATCGCGGATCCAGGACTGAGGTCCACGCAGCCCAGAATGGCTCCAGCTCCCTCTAAGCATAGCTCCCACCTCCAGCCCTTGGGTCCTACGGACTCCTGGATTGAAAGGGTCAATTCCAAATGAACAGCAAGAGCACAATGACTGCAAAGAGGAGGACAAGAAAATGAGTGACCTCAGATCCCTCATTTTACCTGACTGCTTGTTTTGGATTTAAAACAATGAAAGAGCATAAATTTTGAGGTATTATTTCTGTTGGACAAATGCAAATTTTAGTTCAGATATGGAATATTATGCTAAATAAGAAAAATATATATAAAATTGAAATTAATCATTTTTTAATTATTATTTTACAAAACTAAAACCCAGAAATATACAACCTTAAATCAGTGCTATGATTTGTCTAAATTTTGCCTTTAGCAAAAATATTTTGGCTACCAAACAATCATTTATATTTAATAGTATTATATCAGACAGTTAACAAAATACTAAAGTCCAAGTTTAAATATATAATGTAATATATATTATATCATATTGTATTAGTTATTAGTATAACACAATGTTAGATATTGTATTATATCATACTGTATTAGTTATGTAATATAATATAATAGGTATTATGCATAAAATATCAAATGTTTGAAATGTAATATTTTTCTTAATTTTTTACTAGCATGATTTATATAGAGATATATGAATCTGAATTTTTAAAAAATTACTCTCAAAGTATTTTCTGGTCATTAATATTGTTTAATATTATGATAATTTGAAAATAATTTTGTCACATAGAGGGTAAGATATTAAAAGACGATCTGTTCCTCAGGTTTGTGTGCTAGGTACTGGTCTGCTAGAGAAGGTGGTAAAAAGATTTCTAGAAATGCTTTTTAATTAGAGCTTAGATTTTATTTTAGTTGATTAAGATATAATTCAGAAGGCAAGGGTTCCTAGGATGTACTTGCACGGCAGGGAGGACGGGGGGCAAGCTGCCTGCCTGAGAGTCCAGCTCTGAGGGTCCTAGAATGTACTCACAGGGCAGGGAGAACCATGGACAAGCTGCCTGCCTGAGAATCCAGCTGCATGGGTCCTGGAATGTACCAGTGGGGCAGGGAGGTTGGGGTGCAAGCTGCCTGCCTGAAACACTCAGTCCATCTCTGAGGCCCTGGTGGAGACCTGATGGGCAGCAAACCTGAGGTGCCAGTGCCTCGGTTGGCCAGGAAGGGTCTGTTTCACATCATGTGTGCTTACATTTGCGCCCATTTGTCTTCCTGTTAGAGTTCCCACAGATAACAACCTTCACGCAGTTCTGAACTACAGAACATAGAGGGAGGGCACTGCAGCTGTGCATCCTGCCTCTAGCTCACTGAGATGGAATTTCAGTTCTAAGTACAAGGTCGAGCCATACACGTTGCCATTTTTCTCAAAAACAGAGTAAGAGCAGCTTCATGCCATTCCACCTAAAAACTGCTTTAAACTTGGAAGAAGCCAAGTCTGCTTCCAAGGTCACCCAAACAGGGGTCCACCAGACATGGGATTGAACCATCGGCTCTAAAGCGGTGGTCCCCAACCTTTTTGGTACCAGGGACCAGTCCTGTGGAAGACAATTCTTTCTTGGAGCTTGTTTGGGGTGGGGGGTGGTTTCGGGATGGAGCTGTTTGCCTCAGGTCGTCAGTCATTAGATTTTCATAGGGAGCCTGTGACCTGGATGCTCACATGAGCCGTTCACAACAGCGTTTGTTCTCCTGTCAGAATCTAATGCTGCTGCTGGTCTGACAGGAGGTGGAGGGCAGGTGGTGAAGCCAGCAATGGGGAGCGGCTGTAAATGCAGGTGGAGCCTGGCTCACTGGCTTGCTGGCCTGCTGCTCACCCGCTATGTGACCTGCTTCTTACAGGCCACCGACTGGTGCCGGCGTGCAGTCGGGAGGTTGGGGAGCCCTGCTCTAAATATGGGCAGCTTCCAACACAGTCTTCTCCCAGCTGCGCTAAAACATTGCAATCAAATAAAATCCCAGGCCTCGTGTAACCTGGTGTCTCCCACCCAGATGCTGCCCCTGTAGAGACCTGGGGAAAGGGGGTTTCTGTGAGCCTGGGAGGCTCCTCTAGTACTTTTTCTGCCTCTGCCTAGAACACTGCTAAAGAAAATCAAATCGCCTAATCCCAAGCACCTGCAATCTTTCCATCTCACCCAGGATGAAAGAAGAGAGCACTGAGACACAGAGGAGACGCCGGAGGTGTTCAGGAAAGATCCTGTGAGGACACCGGGGAGGATGCTGCCTACAAGCCTCAGGGAGAGGCCTCGGGACAAGCTAAAGCTAACTTCCCCAAAGGAGTTTCTGTCCCACCTCCCTACACCCACTGACTCTTCCCAAGCTACCAACACAGTAAAATGACAACTCCATCTGTCCCAGTGCTCGGACCGCAACCTTGGAATCGCCATCAATTCTCTCTCTGCAAATCTTTAGAGAAAGGGTCCTGCTCTGTTGCTCAGGCTGGATTGCAGTGGCGCAATCACGACTCATGGCAGCCTCCACCTCCTGGGCTCAAGCGATCTTCCTACCTCAGCCTCCCTAGTCGCTGGGACCACAGGTGTGTGCTAATTTTTGTACTTTTTGTAGAGACGGGGTTTCTCCATCCTGCCCAGGCTGGATTTCCTCTCTGATCCACACACCGCCCAGTGAGCAGCGGCCTCCTCCATCCTCTGTCTAAAAACATCAGTGTCTGCTGACCGGTCACCATGCCCCTCACAAGACTCCTGTTGAGCCCCCTGCTTCTTTCTTGTCCTCCTGACAACCGTGCTCCACAGGGAAAAAGGACGCTTTAAAGGAAAATTACACAAAGCTACTCTCCTACTTCCAACTTTCCCACAGCATAGCACTGCGCCCAGTAAAAAGCCCTGCTATCTACCCTGGGCCCCACAGCACCACCTGCTCCTAACGTCAACGTCAGCACCCGTGATTCTTCTTTTTGCATCAGACACGGTTCTTACACATCTCCTATTTATTCTTCCTCTGCAGCTTTTTCAGTAATGATTCCATCTGGCTGGAAAGCTCTCATCTCTGCGTAACTGACTGATTGTCATTCAAGTCTCCCCTTAAACGTCATTTTCCAGCAGGGGCCATTTCTGAATCACCAATCTCAAGAGCCCACAGTCACTTTCTAGCACACAGACTTCTGCGATCCACTGCTTATTCACTTGCATAATTACTTTTTGTCTGTCCTGCACACTGCAAATTAAATGTGTGGAGAGTAAGGATTGAGACCAGCTTGTTGGCCGCTGCACCTGCTGGGCTCAGAGTGATGCTGGGGGCCTGGGAACCCCTCGGTGATGGACGTTTGTCACTTGAGGGAACAGGGCCTTCTTACGTGGGATGAGATAGAAGGACAAATGGCAACTCCACGCTGACAATCCTCAAGGCACTCCCTCTACAATTTCATTATTTTTATATTCCTTAGCACTGTAGGTTATTCACACACAAGGAATACTCACTGTGATGTGCCTTCAATCTTCAAGAGCCTAAACTATCACAGGACAAGTGGCAGACCTTCCTTTTGCAGACATCCTGTCATTCACTTACTGCTCCACTTCAAAACATGGCTAAACATCCAAGTTTAACACAACTCAGCTCTGCACAGACATTTGCAGGGGCTGGTCTGTGTCCTTGCTGGGAATCAGAATGTCGATCGGATGCGGTAAGTATAGAACAGGAGGCAGAGACTGAGTTACACAAAAGGTTCTTACACGCTGTAGAAAAACGCACTACATCCAAATGCAATAATTTTTTCCAGTCCTAAGCATTGGACCTTGCTCGGAGAACAATTTCAGCCTCTACAGCATAGTTTCAGCATCATCTACAAGACAGATTTCACTTCAAACACAGAGGAGAGCTGCCAAGTACGGGGCCTGGCGCCCAGCCTGCCCATATGAATCCAAGTGATGTTGGGTGTGACAAAGCTTGCTGAGGTCAGCCTATACTCAAGACAAATTAGTGGAACACTCACAGCCCATCACGTCAGCAAGAATAAGAGCACAGCAAGTGGAAAACTGGCCTGAAACCCTCATCTCATTTCAATCTTTGAGTAAAAGACCTGGGATAGATAGACGAGTTGATTTAGAATAATTAACAATTTCACTGGATTGCTGGTAGCCCAGCCTCCAGAGAAGACATTCATTTAATAGGTTTTCCTCCTTAAAGGCATTTGAAAATGTAAAAACTATGGAAGAGAAGTAAATAAACATATTTTTAAAGTACTCCTTCCAATCGAGATCATCCTGGCCAACATGGTGAAACCCCATCTCTACTAAAATACAAAAAACTAGCCAGGTGTGGTAGCAGGTGCCTTGTAGTTTCAGCTACGTGGGAGTCTGAGGCAGGGGAATCGCTTGAACCAGGGAGGTGGAGATTGCAGTGAGCCAAGATCGCACCACTGCACTCCAGCCTGGCAACAGAGTGAGACTCCGTCTCAAAAAATTAATCAATTAATTAATTAATTTGAAAATATTACAGTACTCCTTCCAAGTTTTACTTAACCCAAAGCATAGATTTTGGGGGAAATTTTGCATGGTCATACTTAAAGCATGTTTTGTGTATCACTTTGTCTCTTTCTACATAATATGATGGCACAGGCATCTCCGTGTTATTTTAACATGGAATAACCTAGCACTAACAGGCAGTTACTGTGGAGACGGGGTATAAATTAATGTCATGGCTTCATTACATGTCATCAAGTTTCTTTTTGGGTTGAGTTAAAAAGTTACTTTCTTTTTCTTTGATTCTTCCTTGGGTATTAATGGTTATTAATATTTCGTGGGTGAGTTACCGAGAATGACATGGATAGAGATGAGTCTGTGTGGGTCCATCTATCTATATCTAGCTCTGAATACACATGACAGCACTCAACACAAAGCTGTGAAAAGTCGAAGGTTTAAGAAAGAGATATAAACTTCAGATGTGGGGTATACATAAGAAAATCCCACCAAATCCCAGCCTTCATCAGATAACTCCTGACAGGGTCTAGACAGCTGGAATTTCCCAACAGTACTGCTATCCCAGCAGACTCGTACCCATTCCTTGCCAAACTACTTCCACCTTTGTCCTATCAGACTGTCCATTAGCACGGTGGTACTACTGGTCACCCGGTCACCTAGATCCCAGACCTAGCCAGCACTCCTCACGGGAGCCAGACACGGCCCGGCTGGCTTCTCCTCTTTTCAATGCCACAGCATCATGGCACTTTGCTACAGATAAGGCTGCTCCTTCAGCAAAGCTGTGATCAAAACTAGAAGTGCCTACCTGGCAGATGGGTAATCAAGGTTATGGGATTTGTCCCAACCTAGAGGCAAAGCTATAGAAAGAATGTGGTCAGCCAGTCATCACGGTGGTGTGTGTGTGTTCAACCCTCACCAAAGGCAGGCAGCCCAAATCCATGCCAGCCTCTCTCTTTCTCCATCGCTGCAATTCTCCAGCGAAGCCAGGCCAGGCCTCCACAGATCTCTGGATGCTGTGATCATTCCTGCTCGCTTGTACACGCACGCAAGTGCGAACACACACACATTTCACACATCTCTGCACACACCACAAACATGCATACGCACTTCACATATCTCTGTACATTGTGCTCATTCCTGCACATACCACACACACAGACACACACACAGCACACACACCACACAGACACACACACACACCACACACAAACACACACACATCACACACACAAACACACACACAGACACACACCACACACACACCACACACATCACAGACACACACACACACACCACACACACACACACCCCCACTATACACACACAGAGGAATCCCTGCGCTTCTTCCTCTCCCGGCACTGCCCATCTGTTCAGTTCTACCTGGAGGACCTGCTCCGGAAGCCCAGCTCTGCTCTGTGGCCTGCCCTGCTTCCTCTCTGAGTTTATAAACCTCCCACCATCCATCTCCTTCATTTGAGCAGTTAATAATACATTTTGAATTCTTCCCTAAGCTGCCCCATATGTTTGGTTGCTGCAGCTGGGCTGCAATCTCCTGAAATCAGAGACCCTGCTTTGCATCACATTTGTGTCTCATAGACCTTGGCTTGAACACAGGGTGATGAGCAGAGATTCATCTCCCCACATGTACACGTGGCTGTGGTCAGGCATTTTCCCACTGCCGAAGACCTGGTCTAGGGATCAGGGAGGGAGCATGCTTTCTTTCCTCCCTTTTCCCAGAGGAAGACCCTCTGTAAGACGAGCTCTTCTGGGTCCACTGGTCTTTGTCCTCCCTGGGTCATCTGGCTGGCAGGTCTAGATCTGGAAGAGGTTGACAGAATCAGCTCTGGCTTTCTCTAACTGTGGGAGCCGCTGCCTGCAGGAGGCACCTGTGTAGCACTGCCTCTCTATGCAGTGATTCTCAGAGGCCAACCCCGCAGGGCAGTTGGGCACCGCAGCCAGTGTACTGTGATTTTGCAAGCAAGTCTTTTTAATTTGGAGGTGAAATAAGAAGACACTCACTTGGCCAACAAGCCACATTTTCCCATAGTTTTACCCACATAAAAATGATATTTTGCTCTGTATCTTCCCAACTCTGTCTGCCTCTTAAGTGTTTCTTAAATGTGGTTAGAGAAAGGAGGGCTGTGGTTAACTGGAGCCTTCAGACAGACGGTGAGACAGCAGCCCTGGCAGCCCGGCTCACCTCTCCTGGCCACGTCCCTGTTCTGTCACCCGCAGTCCTGAAGGCCACTGGCTGGGACACCACCCACGCCCAGCCTCACTTCCTGCAGGGAACAGGAACTGAAGTTGTCTGCGGCTGCCCCCCGAAATATGAACACACCTTGGGAAAGCCTTGGCAGCTCTTGGAGTGCTCAGGCAGGAAGTTTCTCCTGAAGCTAGGAAGTCGGGGTTCTTCGGCCATCACAGCTTCCCTTGTTCTTGAAAGACTCCCACAGGCCAGCGAGCGGTGCTCTCCTCCAAGCTCTCTGGTCCCTGCTCCCAGCAACCAGGCATCTCATGCCAGGGAATTCTCCAGGCAACACAATCCATTTCACCAGTGAGCTCCAGCGTCCTGGGTTGGGGGTGACTTGAAAACTGCATCTCGCAGCAGCCTGACCCTGCCTGCTCAACACCCTGCCCCACTGGGCACTTAAGCCTCAGGGGACAGGGGACAAAATGTAAAGGAAAACCAATGCGCAAGAACGGAAACCCTGACATCACCAAGTCCAGGAAAAGCTCATTCATATCTACATTTCCCCTAAATTAGCACCGAGCTTTTCCTTATTCTAGAGAAGACATCCTAGAAACATCTCCAAGAATAGGGGTGACTATTTTAAAGAAAAGCAAGCAGGAAACTTAAAATGATTACATTTAACATTGGAAGCTGGTTGCAATTCTCATTGCTTAAGAATTTCCCCTACATATTCTGTCTAAATAAAGCACACACTGTGCAGTCAACCATTCCAAGTAGGAGGAGCACTTAGGGTTTCTCATTTTAACATTTTCTAAACATGTTAAATTTCTGGCTGGTAAATATCCTACATTTTTTTGTATGTCCCAAAACAGTTTGCATAATCCATCTTTTTAAAATGTTGTAAATATGCATTTACATGATAAAGTGCGATGAGACTCTAGTGTCAACTCATGCATTTCTCAAGTCTTCTTTAACAAAAAAAAAGGCACAAGAAAAACAAAGGGAATTTATATAATTTTCACTTCCCATTCATGCATTTTAACTTAATCAACATATTTATTCTGAAATATAATCAGCAGATACCATGCAAAAACTCCCCACAATCATCCATGAAACAAAAATAAATAAATATGGTTGATTTGAACTCTTCAATTATGTCCTCAATTTGGTAACAGAAAGCTTTTATGAGGAAAGCCCTTGTCCCTTTGTTAAAGAAGAACATATCCAAAAGCTTTATATGATTGGCGTTTAATGCCATTATTATTTATATTTAAGTAGTTATTATTGGTATCACAACGAGAGTAGGAGAGATTAATGAGTAGCAAATAAGCAAAGACAGACTAAGCGAGCAACTCATCGCTGCTATTGCTCACAATTGGAGCTACTGCATTTCCAGATGGAGAAGAGGAAGGCTGAAGAGGTAAAAATGAGAGTGGAAAACACCCTGGTTTCCACTTGGAAATTACTGCTTTCTCTGATGTGAAGTCTAATTGAATATTCAACAAGCATGAGCCCTCACTTAGCCCAAGAGGGAAGGCAGGCTCATGGACTCAAGCAAGGCCGGGTGGCTGCCTTCTCCCTGTCACTAGAATTCTTGGGGCAGAGAAACAGAGAAGGACAATTAGTCGTGGTTCCTTTGAAGTCCACTTCATTGCTCATTGTCCTGCATCCTGAGGTCCATTGACTTCAAGTTCATTGACTCCTGGAGGAGCCCATCCCAGCTGCTGCAGCATCACACCTGACCTCCCACCATGTTTTCCATCCCCAATTCCTCCCCGCTGATCCCCTTTTGCTCAAGTTACCCAGAGGTGGACTCTGGAATTTTCAACCAGCAAACCTCAGCTGAGCTCTCCCAGCTCCTCCGCAGCCCCTGTCGTATTGGACGTGACTGCTTTGACTGGCACCAGTTCAGTGGTGTCTGCCTCCACTGTCCTTCCCATGCCCTGTGATTAGGGTGATCACACACCCCAGTGTACCTGGATACACCTGCTGTCCCCGGGTACGGTTTCTGCCTCAAAAGCATCTCGGGTTTGACAGTGACCTTCTCTATATTCCCTGCATGTGCAGAAGCCAGCTGAGTCCTTTCAACAACTGTTGGGTCCCCGTGGCTGAGTTATCTTGGCCACAGGAAGGCAATGCAGTGAGGTGTGAACGGGATTAAAGCCCTGCATTCATTTAGTCACTACATGATGACCTGGCTGCTCTGGATGGTGCCCATGCTGCTTCCATGTGCCAGGTGACCTTCTAGATCCTGGAAATGCAAAGACAGATGAGTCACATGTTTTCTTTACCCCCCAGGAGCTCGGGATCCAGTGGTGGTGTAAACAGATGGCAGCATGACGTAAGTGCTATGGAGGAGCCAGGATGGACTACGTGGGAATGCTGTGCACAAGAGACAGATGGAAAAGAGGGGTGGGATCAGGATGATGGGGAGAGTTCTTAGAGGAGGTGGCTTCATAAATGAGTCAGATTGTGCAAATGGCCCTGGGTCAGCAGGGAAGAGTCAGCAGCGGACTTTACAATGCTGGGGATATTGCTCTTGTCCTTCAGCCTCTGGACGATAACATGAAGGAAGCAACTGCCCGGGTCTGCTCTATGTCTTCATAGAACAAGCAACAGATGAAGTCCATGTTTTACCATGGCGAAGGGAATCCTGTCTGGTGATGGATAAGTGGAAGAAAAATAAGAGTCAGTGTCAAAAAGAGGTTGGAAAGGCAGAGGTGCTTCCAAGACACTGCTGGGCATCACAGAACCCTAGCAACGAGCTCTGTGCCCCCAGCTTCCTGCCTAGTCTGCTTCAACATGTGATGGAGGGCAGAATCCTCTTTTCCAGAGAGAAAACAAGAATAAAAGAATTGAACAAAACACAGTCGAACATGAAATCAACTATACAAATTGCAAGACATAAGTCGTAGTTTCATTTGTTCTGAAACTGTAAAACCCACAGGTCTTATCAATAGAGAATTATTATAAACTGTTGTTAGATGATGGATCCCCCTGTGGAAAGGCGATTTGCTCTCACAAGGGACTATGCCTTCCTGAACAGCATCTCACTGTCTGCACATGCTCCCCTTCTGTTAGGAAGATTGCTGAGATATCACCTCCCGCTTCAGAGAAGATGGGTGTCTGTGCCCTAAATGACATTTTCTTCATTGACTAAAATTGAGCTATTTACTCCATTCTTGTTCGTTGCTTTTTAATCCAATATCCCATCATCGGGTAGATATTTTTTTGCAAGGAATAATAGCTACTATGTATTGATCACATACCTTGTGGCAGACAATACACGTGCATTGTCATCAATCTTAAGACGGTGCCATTATCAACATTTTACAGGGAGGGTCAGAGAGATGAGATGTGTTGGGCAGTGTTACAGGAGCGGAAAGTAAAGAATTTGGTTTTAAACCAGATCTGCCTGTCTCCAAAGTCATTGTTTTCCAACAAAATACAGGTGAATGTAGACACAGTGAAACAGAAAGCAGCTGAACTCAGAGCTCGCAGTTTTACCCATGTCTGTGGGTCAAGCAGAACAGAGGAACAGCCCCTTGTGTGAAGGCTTGTTATGCCTCATCATAATTAAAAAATTTTTAAGATGTCATCTAAATTTACAACACACCTGTGTTCATGACACAAGTGAGAATATTTCAAGATGAGTGGGCTCTCCACAAAAAACTTGACATTATATTTATGTGCTAATTTTTCCAAATAAATTATCATAAATGTGAGGCTTAGGATACATAGAGGAGTTGTGGCTGTAAGACAATCAATCTCTTGATTTAGCAAATAAATTGGATTTCTTCCCAGTCATCTAGATATTTAAGGTCAAGAAGATGAATTTTGCGTGGCGTCCTGATCATTACTAAATCCCGGCTTGTTCTCCTGTGATGCTGCTTTGTACTTAATTGGATCCGTGCATTTCCCCCTGAGACACAGAACACAAAGACAAGCGTTCCCATTCCCCAAATTATATGGTTTCATTATTTCCAGCTATGCACATCCTGGACGGCCTCCTACTGATTATTTTCCCAAATTTATTATCAGAAAGTACAGTTCTAAATAAAAACCCCGAAACCAAAAAATGTTGTCTTTATGAGTTGATCAGTTTTTGAAAGGAGGCTGTTTTACAAAAGTGATGTGCATTCATTACGACAATCCAAATAATATCAAAAAGAACCGAGGAGAAAATGCCGCCCCCCGCCCCCTCCACCACCAAAGCTGCAGACCGTGGTTGTTTGCCGGCCATCTCTCCTGTTAGGTCCGCAGATAAATAACCTTGTTCAGTCTCATGTGATGCTTCACAGAATGCCCACTTCCCACGCTGTGCACCATAGGCTCCTTTCTGCACAGCTGGGAAAAGCCGGAGAACTCTCTGCGGAGAATCCAGTCTGGGTTGAGGTGTTTTCTGCACTTGTGTCAGTGCGGATGAGAGTCGCCTTCTGTTCTTATTTCCTAAGACCCAAGCCTCTCCTTCACACACATGGCCTGTTCAGGCCCTTGGCGCCCAGGAATGGCCATGGACAATTTCTGTTGCTTGAACGAACATAAAAACTGCCCAATTGTCCCATCCAACTGAGGTTTATGGTTTCTTTTCAATGAACATAAAAATGGACCCTCCCAGTCTCAAAACTTGAGAAATGTAGATTTGTCTCACCCGAGTTTCTCTCTCAGGACACCAGCCATCAGGCCTCCCAGATAGCATCAAGGAGCTCAAACTCACCAGGTCACCACATCTGGACAATGAGAGGCCAGAGTCCTCCCCTGCCATGACTGCTACCCACCCTCCTGCTCCTGTTGATTGACTCCTCTTCCTTTCCCCTCCCTGACCCTGTTTCCCCCATTAGTCCATCTGGGAGATGGATTTGAGACTGATCTCTCATCTCCTCCGCGGCAGCACCCAATAAGGCCTTCTTGCCTGGCAGCACTCATCTCAGTGACTGGCTTTCTGTGCAGTGAGCTGCGGGACCTAGACTGAACCCCTGGTGCTTCCGTAAGAAGTATTAAAGGATACGGGGCCCTGTACCGGCTGTCCAGCCTGGAGTGTGTGGTGAGGAGCCCTGGCAGCTGTGGCTGCTGGTTCTGGCTTTGGTGTAGTAGATGAGGTGGTGTATAGGACGCTTGGTGTCAGAAGGGCCCTCTGTGCCCCGTGGCACCTTGGGCCTGGAGCATCATCATGGCATTTCTGGGACATCACTCACGGAGCTCTCTTTAGGAGCCACAGGAGAAATTTCTGCCTTGCCATAGCTGTACTTCTTCAGAATGAACAGTTAACTAACTTACAGTTCTAGTTCACGGACTGTCTGAACCGTCCAACCAAAAGCATGATGACTACTACTGAGCAGGAATTATTCTTTTTGCTGCAAGTTAATGATCATCCCAGCTCAAATCAGCTCAGACAATGAGGGCTTTTTGCCCAGAGTCAAGGTGCCTCTAAACGCAGCCAGCCGGTCTCTCGCTTCCCGTCTCTTCCTTCA